AAAAAAAAGAAATGAAGGATCCAGGTTAGTGGGACCTTGCCCCACATGAAAAAACTGGATTATACTCGAAAATGTGAAAGCTTCCATACAACATTCGGAGAATAAGCATACCTTTTGTGAGGGACACCGCACCCGTTTTCTGGCTTATAAATACAAGTACTGTTTATTGGGGGGGGGGAGGGGGGGGGGGGGGACATGGGTACTGCAAGTGCAGAGCAATGACACAAGCAAGAATTAGAAATTACTAAACTAAATTAGGAAAAAAAATAAAAAAAAGAAAAGAAAAGTAACACAGAATGCACTGGATTCCAAGGTAGGAAAAAAAAAAAAAAAAGAGGAGAAGAAGCTCATTGTGCAAAAGCTTGACAGCCTTGATGTGATGTTCTTCCGTATACTGACGCGTCAGGTCTGCTCTCTGTCAGTGGACAAGGTAGCTGTGTGGGACCATCAGTACAACTTTTTGACCGAGCTTTGCAGTGATTGTCAGCAAAATCATTGCCAATTTGCCAAATATATCTTTTTCGTGCTTTGATGAAACATCAGTGCGAGGAATGAGCCCTCGCGGGGCCCTTGTCAAGCATGCACATGTTCTGGGCAGAGGCCCTCAGCAAGCCAAGTGCCCGCCCTAAGTGAAGGCGGGCCTGAATATTGACTAGAGGCCAAAATTTGACATTTTTCATATGTTGGTACTCAGGCTGTTGTAGCACGCCAGTTCGTTAATTGGAAGCGTTAGACTCCCTGAGCTGCATCGTACAGTTTGGCCCAGGCCTTGGTAAGAGCGAGTTGTTTTCAAAGCATGAGCAGATGCTTTGTGCAGCTCCAAATAGTACCTATCATGGATATCTGATCGCAATTTCCCCGGAATTTCTTCTCTAAGCTTTTCATTTAAAGGATAATGAACAATGCTGGTCTAAAGCATACACACCTAGCAGGCCCAGACATCTGGCTGTACACTAGGAGGCCGTGGAAGGGATCGGCCTACCGGACCCAAGGGTATTTGGGGGGTGCAATACATTTGGAGCACCCCTTTTTTTAATTTTTCTTTCCTTTTTTTTTTTTTTAAGTCATTGTAGATTATTTGTCATGATTATTGGTTATTGAGCTTCTGTTATGACGGGTATGTTGAGAGTTTCAGCCTCTTGAAGTATCGTGAAATTGAGGTTCTCAACCCTGATAGGCATTGTAGTCGAGCCATGAATGTCAGCGATGATGATTCTGACTGAGAATTCAACCTGAGAATTATTTTATCGGGTGTGTCCCGACTGGCCGTAACAGGACCTGAGCAGCCACTTCCACCTACCTGGCCTGACGCTCCTGCATTGCCACGGGTTACAGGGCGGCACAACTCACCCCAGCGAGCTACCAGCGTTGACTGGCCCTGGCCATCCTCAGGCCACTGAAAGTGACAGCAACAGGATTAGAATCCAGCACCTCCTTGGTGCCGCTCAGGCATGGAACCTACTGAGCTAGCCAACGGGATTATTTGGAGCACCCCAACTTTGGCGCGTTTCAGTTGTCGTTTCCTTCGGCGAAAAATTCTGGAAAAGTCGGGGATGTGGGGTAGGTTCCACTGCAGCATGGTAAACTTAGCGGCTTACGAAGTAAGTGCATTTCAATTCGGACCTGCACCGGTAGCAAGAGCGGCTTTGAAAAGGTGCAGTTGGCGGCCCGCGCGCGCCTTGGAAAATAGCTTCGTCAACTGAAGCTCGTGTGAACTGGTGGTTTAAACTTTAGTTGCTCTCTTATTATTTTATATTGTGCCTGTTCAGCGAATGCCGCAGTATCTCATACAGTTCTAGCAGGGCCAGACATCTGGCGCGATTGTTAGGGGAAGTGGGCCCTGGACTTTGTCTAAGCATTTGTTAGCAAATCTGACAGTTAGAAGGAGATGCTAAAGATCAATTTCAGATGCGAACTTTGGATTTCAAACTTAGACATAGCAGCAGCAGCAGCAGCAGTTATGGGTCTGCACGTCTGAGCCTAAGACCTTGTCGGTGCAAGCACGGAGTGGAACCGGCAATCTCAGCCTTGAGAACCAGGTCTCCTAGTACCTTTGCTGCGTGGGAAAATAGTGGGGCTCGGGTGGGCCTCCGACCTTTTCGGAGGCCGAAATGAAACGACGACCGCCGATCAGATTTATCAATGGCAGCCGTCGTCGGGCCCGGCCTCCGAAATTCTAGGAGTTTGGGAGAACGGCCACTTTTCCCTATTTTCCCAACACTAGCGGAGGTACTAGTGGTTTAACCACGACAGCCAGGACACAGTGTTCGAAAGTCGAGTCATACCCGCCATCATATCCACCCCACCCCTGCAAGGCTGTAGTGTCCAACTCAACACACACCACACACAACACCACATGGACACGGCAATTCTCGAACTTAGACATAGACATGACTCAGTGGGGCCTGGCCCTTTGGGTCCAGATGGTTGCTCCACACTATCTGGGTATGTCTAGGTTTTTGTTAGGAAAGCTAAGGGTGACAATGCGATGGTAAAACTGACCATCTGGACCCTTCGGGTGGCGACTGTTGGGTTTCAAAATTTAGCCGTAGGTGTAGCTAAGTGGGGCTTGCCCTTCACCGTCAAGATCAGATGGTTGGCCAGACCACCCGGACACGTTTTGGGTCTGAGTCAGAAAATGCTCGGTTGTTCGGCCTTCGGATCCTACTGTCGTCACCCACATAGAACTTACTGTCACTATGCCTGAATCTGGACAGAAGTTTGGTTCGCATACAGCAGCAATGACCGTACATTCTCTTTGGGGGAAGATGGCAGAAGTTTAGCAGGGCTTCTGGCCCCACACCTGTGGGTGTGGGTGGGTGTGGGTGGGTGTGGGTGGGTGTGGGTGTGGACCACTTGGAGGGGACCCCTCTTTGTGTTGTCCCTGTACAAACGTGGTGAAGCTGATCCGTGCTCATCCATGCCAAATGAACCAGTGCCTTTCATTGGCTGTACTCCACCGAATATAGTCGTAACCACGGTCAAATCCAGTTGAAATAAGTCTAGAGTGAGCAGTCCCTAAGATGAGAAGTAGCACAGACATCAACTCCAACTGTTAAAATCTCGCATTGGACAAGGAGGTGGATAGGAGAAGAGGTTCAGACGGTATATTTGTGAGGTTCCCCCAGTGTGTCATTGCTGTTGATCTATTTGACGATATATATAGATATATATATAGACACACACACACACACACACACACAGAGAGAGAGAGAGAGAGAGAGAGAGAGAGAGAGAGAGAGAGAGAGAGAGAGAGAGAGAGAGAG